ACAGAAAAATTCATTTTCAAACATATTGCTTTCTGTGGTGTGTATGTGTGTGTGTGTGTGTGTGTGTGTGTGTGTGTGTGTGTGTGTGTATTTATTTGGGTATGTGCATAGGTACCCTTTGAGGCTAGAGGTGTCAGATTTTCTGTAGCTGGAGTTCTAAGTGGATATCAGCTGCTTGATGTTAGTGCCAGCAACTAAACTCAGGTCTTCTGGAACTGCTGAGTCATCTCTCCAGCACCCCTCCCCCACCTCTTTTGATGACAGCTATTCTGATGTGACCAGTAAGATGAAATTTCAATGTAGACTTGATTTGCATTTCCCTGATGGTTAACGATGCTGAGAAACGTACCTCTGTAATCTGTCTTTTCAGAAGTCTCTTCATTTAATCTGCCCATTTATTCATTGGATTACTTGCTGTTCAGTGTTCAATAATTATTTTACTTACTTTTTCCTTATTTTTTTTCTTCCTTTTATCTACAAGAATTTTGATTGAAGGCTGAGACAATGTGGTATCTATATTTCATAGTATATTGAAATGTGTACCTTCATCTATAATAACTACTGGTGGTCATTTTTAAGTTAGGATTACTTTAATAACTGCTTTTAATTTCTATTTTACTCAGATAATATTAAACACACTAGTTAATCTAACACCACTAAAAAGTTTACCTAGAATTCTCATAGATTATCTCATTTGATCTCACAATTATCATGTCAGGTGATTTCTTATTAGTTCATTTAACATATAATATACTGGGAATTAGAGAGAATATATGTTTCCCTGAAATTGGTTCATGTTATAATGAGCAATTTAGAAATACTAAATTTCCTTTAACTATTAAAAAAGAAACATACAAAAGACTGTGAGATGTAACAGAATGGGTGCTAAACCTAACTCCATAGAATTTTCTGGAAGCAGATGCCCAGTTAAGTTACCATCATTTCAACAGGCAAGAGAGGGCACACATTCAAAGGAGAGTCAGTAAAAGAAATCTCCTTTAAAACAAACTGACAATTCTATGCTCTTTTGCTTTGGGAGGATAGATTGTTTTTTTTTTTTTTCTCTACCAAGCAGCTGGGGCCTGGCACTAAACATCATGGTGTCAGTGCAGACCAGCCGTTGCTTAAAGAGTATTAGGGTGTTAGCCCCCTTAAGTTGTTCTGAGAGTGAAGATGGTGATTCCTAGGAGAGGTTGAAATGTGTCTCCTTAAGATTGGGGCAAATAATATATCCTGGTGTCTGCTCTTCTCGTGGAGAACGTTGAAGAGACTAGATGGCAGGATTGGGAGGAAACGAAATAAAGAAAGGCAAGAGAGTCAAGAGTGGGTCTAGCTCTGTTTCTCCAGTTTTGAGGATCTAGTCTTCATGTTTTGCCTTAGCACTGTGGGAGGTAGCTAATCTCAGCATCTTGAGAGGAAGCCAGTTCATATGCTTTACAACAGGGCTGTCATTTTGCCATTTACTGTGACAGACAGATGATGTTTGTGATTTAAAATATAGAACTCAAAATAGCTCTGGCCAGGGGCAGGTGAGCTAGCTCAGCAGTTAAGAACACTGGCTGGTCTTGCAGGGGGTCCAGATTTGGTTATGAGAAAGCACATGGAAGTTCACAACTGTCTGCAACTCATGTTCCAAGGGATCTAATGTCCTCTTTGACTTCTACAGGCACTAGGCATGCATATGGTACACATACTTACCACATATACATACATAAAATACAGGCAAAAGACTCATATATATATATATTTTTTTTTAAATATGGCCATAAGCAGGTATCCTATGGAGCATAATTTGTGATGATGGAGCATGCCTTCTGACCAACCAAGAAAGATGCCTTCCCCCAGCAGCATCTAAGCAAGCAAGGACTAGCCTGTGGTTCCTCCTCTGCGCCAATGCTCATTGAACTCAGATCTGCCTTGAATAGTGGGAGCAGAGAAGGTCTGCACTGTATGTATAAGAAAGTTTAAGCTTAAGTAGATATTCTAATGCAAAAAAAAAAAAAAAAAAACCGAGTTTTTCAGAATCTTTGAACCTACTGGAAATATTATCTGGAAAATGAATGGCTTTGTGGGAAGTGACACAAAACACTCAGAGGAGAATATTCAAGCTATAGGAAGCCACGGAATGATTTACACATTTGCAAAGTTTTAAGGCATTAATGGTGGATAGGAAAATGTTGGCATGCATTTAGGTAATATTTTGTGTATCTTGTGAGCTTTAGAGCTATGTTCCATACAGATGAAGTTGCTTGGCCACAATTTTACACATGATTTAATAGGAGGGCATTGCATCATGTGCTAGGTGTCTGTCCTTAGGCCAAACTCACCTCTATTAAAGAATGGCATGTTGAGCTGCTTACAGTTACAGAACACACATATGTGTGATTTCTCCTTTAAACATCAGGAAAGAATAATTTGTTGTAGCCCCTAGGAGTAAACACGGTTTTTGGTAAGAGTAAAGAAAGTAAAGATAAAAAGAAGAAAAGCTTTATCTCATATTGTTACAAGTTCACTTAGTTTTGGAGGAAATGCTGTAGGCTGAAAAACAGCCCTCAGAACACAATTATTACAGAAAGGAATCAGAGTCTTACAGAGAATTAGGTACTGGTGTGAGGATGGTGATCTCTAAGGAACAGTCAGAGAAAAGATTTTGAGGACCCAGCAGCACTGGAGGAAAACTCATTTTAATCAAAGGAGGCCAACATATGGGAAATGATGCCTCAGGTGCAGATGATCCCATTGTCAAGGAGAGTACTTCTTCTTCTTTTTAAAAATAATTTGTTCAAAATGCTTCAGTTTTCCTCCAGTTTGGGATCTTCTCTTTATGTTACACATTGATTAATCCATTGTCTAAAAATTGTAAGTAAAGGGAAACTGAGAGTTTCGGTATGTCTGAAGTGTGTGGACAGCCTAGAGTAGTTGTCATATTCATGAGAACAAATGCACCAGGCTAGACTTGATTTGGATCTGCACACACATGCTTGTGCTACTTCAAAACAACAGCAGCTTTTCTACTTTTAAAATACAAGTTCCTTTCCTCCAACTCCTAGTCCCCTCTCTTAAAATGTCACTTCTACCTGCTGCACAGCTAGAGGCTGATAAGGTGGCATCTGAGCAGGTTAGCTGGGCAGTTCTTGTTTTTGACTCAAACACGTACAGGGTACGCACATGCCACTACTGGCAGATTACTGCCCCACTTGTTTACTTGTTCATTAGTGGTTTATCAATAAAAAAATGCCAGTATTGTAATAGCTCGAGGATATGATAGGCACAGGTGTGGTATTAGTCTGATGACAAGAATTCCCCCCGGAGCTTTGAAAAGTGCGGATGCCTGGGCCTGGAACCGGAGGCTTCGACGTAATCAGCCTTTGTTAAGTCCTGCACTTTAAAATTTTTTCACATTGTCCAGGGATGCTGAGATGTAGTTAGGGCTGGGAGGGGACAGGTGTGCCAGACCACATGCCTGTTCCTTCAGAGGAAGGCACTGTGTGATTTGATCCTCAGGACTGAACAAAGGCCTTGGGGTCCTCATCTTGCAGAGGAGAATGTGTTTCTGAGAGATGGCATGATTTCTTCCGGCACCACATCACTGAGGTGCAGAAGGGTGTATTTCATTTCTGACACTGCATTTGGAAATTGTGGGTTGGAAAAGCTAATTCGGTTCCACTCAAATAAAATAGTTTACCTGTGAAACGTTTTTCCACCATCTGCGCCTCTGAAAATAGAGTGGCAAGTTCCATTATTGAACTGTGGAAAGTTTGACCCCAAATGAACAACTGATAAAAACTGAAATTAAATAATATACTCGATTTTAGAGAGGTGACCCCCAAATAAGTATCTTAAAATTATTTTTGTTATTTGCTTTTATATTTATACATTTCAAAGGAGAGATTCAAGCAATCTTTATTTTTCAAAGTTTGACACTCTTTTCTTCTCCATTATTTCTGAGCAAGATAAATTCAGGAAGGACTTGGATGCTGTGGGGCAGGATTTTCTTCCTGATAACACTTGAGGCGTATGAAACACTGATAAAAAATATATATATACTTTTGTTATAGTAAAAGATTCTGAATTATTGCTTTAGTTATAAATAAATTCCAAATAGATAGAGTACTATAAGAGCTTAGACAGACTTGACTACTTTCCATATGATGGCTGTGTTTCCCTCCTGTATATAGAGGCATGTAATTCATGTGAAAATTACAAATCAAAACACTAAGCAAGCATTCATTCATCTATGAGGTTTAGAAAAAAAATTAAAGCAAAATAAAAATTAAGGGCTGAAGCAAAGGCTCGGGGTTTAAGAGCTCTCAGCACACAGCCATGAGGACCAAAGTTTGGACCCCAGCACACATATAAGCTGAGTATTTTACAAACACCCATAATTACAGCTCTGTGTGATCAGACACCCTCTTCTGATGGCATAAACCAAGTCAAAATGCAGATGCCTGTGTACCTGACACTGTTAAACCTATGAAAACCCTCCAGGGTGGCTCCCACCTCTTCAACACTTGATCAGAATGACTGCCTTACTTTCAATTGCTTCCCAATCTGTGACTGGATCCTTCAACATTTGACAAGTTTGATTGCATGCTTTTAAGGGTTATATACGAAACCAAATTATATGAATTTATTTGTAACAGTACTTTTGGTTCATACATATTCATTCATGTCTGTATCTAGGCGTTAGTGTCTTTTAAATGGTGTGAAAATTTTTTCAGGCATCTTTTCATAAGTTACATTGCTCGTTTCAGAATTCCTCATCCTGGCTTTTGTGTCTCTTAACAAAGAATTTCCATCCTGTTGTTTCTTTGTTACGTTCTCAAGACAGATCTGCTTCTACACGAAGT